CCACAACCATAAATTTCCACTTTATTAGTAAGCGTGTCGTCTCAAAGTGGGAAGAAGATCTTGGGACAGAGGTAGTATCACTTATTTAAATGCTGCAGTGCACAACCGATCTTTAGTAGGATGTTCTTTCTTGAGTGTCACCTTTCTTTGGGAAGGGGGATATCCATTCATTTAGCTAATGTTTTGTGCCTGCCACATGTTTTCAGTTGAATGAGATGTGGACCTACTTCTTTCTTGGCTTACAGTTTATTTGGGCTCCTTGTAGAAACCATTTGGGATTATTGCATTGCTGGATGAAGAGTCGAATTTCCCTAAAGCGACTGATTTCACATTTGTCAATAAACTTCAGGAGCACTTGAAAACAAATTCATGCCTAAAAGGAGAAAGAGGATCAGTGTTCAGTATTCAGCACTATGCTGGCGAGGTTTGATTTTCTTATTAAATGTTACTAGGAATAGACCGAAAACTCATTTTAGAAAGCCTCCACTTGGTTGGGGTTTTATTTCAACTTAATTTACTAATTACAAATAGATATTGATAGTCTCAGTTGATCTTCAACTATTCCATTTGATTGTTTGGGGATTTGTGCATTATTGCAGTTATTTTCAATTTTCATGCATACTTGTAAGATAAGGCTTGGGAATAAGGCTTGGATGTTGTTGTTGTACTTGTAAGATAAGGCTTCCTTGTGCCGTTATAAACTTTTTGTTAAGCATTTATTATTTTATTTTATTCTATTCACCTCCAGAATAATCATGGTATGGCATATGTGGTAAATTGTTTGATGGACAGAGTGACGGGGCTTCATGTTCCTAGATGATGCATTCTAAATGCAGTTTGATGGACAGAGTGACATTTATCTCGAGTGTAGTTTGCTTTAGACAAACAAGTAACTTGATGATTGATAAATTCAGTTTCATTGCCTACAAAGTGAAGGGTGTAGTTTTTCTAGGTGATGCATTCTAAGTACAATTTGATGGACGGAATGTCATTTATCTTGAGAGTAGGTTGCTTTAGACAATGACAGTGCTGAAAGTTTAATGATTCAGGATAAGTATATTATATACCTGTGTTTTCTTCAGGTTACGTATAGCGCCAGTGGTTTCTTGGAAAAGAACAGAGATCTTCTGCATTCAGATATTATTCAGCTACTCTCATCATGCAGTTCGGAACTACTTCAGTTGTTTACCAGTTTCTTGCTTAACCCATTTCAGAAATCAACTCTACCAAGCAAGCTTGTTGTATCAGATGTTCGGAGACAAAGTGTTGCGACAAAATTCAAGGTAAATATTTTGCTTCATTTTTTTATCCTCTGGTGTTTGTATTTGTTCATTGGCAACTGTTAGTATAAGCGGAAAAAAAATTCCTTGCAGGGTCAATTGTTCCAATTAATGCAGCAGTTGGAAAACACTGCTCCACATTTCATTCGCTGCATAAAGCCAAATAATAAGAAACTTCCTGGAATGTTTGAGAAAGATCTTGTCTTAGAGCAGCTTCAGTGCTGTGGAATTTTAGAAGTTGTAAGGATCTCAAGGGCTGGCTATCCAACTAGGATGACACATCAAGATTTCACAGGAAGGTCAGTGTCCTGGATTTATTTTTCTAGTCGCTGACTTCTCATTTTTAACTGTTAGTAAATTTAATTGTATATGCCTGCATATGCTTCAGATATGCCTTCCTTCTATTGGATAACAGCTTGCTCAGAGATCCTTTAAAAACTTCAGTTGCCGTTCTGCAAAAATTCCATATCCATCCAGAAATGTACCAAGTTGGATATACTAAATTATATCTTCGAGCAGGACAGGCAAGTTAACATGTTATACCTAGATTATGTTTTCTTTCTGTTTAATGATAGTGGAATAGTTGATTGCAATTGAAATAATAAGAGTACTTTTCAAGTTATTCTATGTCGGTTGGAATTTTATGTTAAGATACTACGTATTTTCTTCGGTTGATCTATTGTTACTTAAAAATAGAAAGAATGACATTTATGTTAAAGAATGTGTAGATCATGTATTAGAGCATATAGTTTTGAATCATATAATGTTCTACCAGGAAGGTAGTAATTAATGCAGGCAATATGAACATTTATTTATTAATACACAGCACTTCTGTGTTTTTTAACTTCATGATATTATTATTGTAATTTTTAGATTGCTGCAATGGAGGATGTCAGAAAAAAAGTTCTCCAAGGTACTCTTGATGTGCAAAAGTGTTTTCGTGGATATCGTGCTCGTCTGTGTTTCCATGAACTCAAGGGCGGAGTAATAACCCTTCAGTCTTGTACGTTGAACTGCTTTAAATGTGTGGCTTTGCTTCTGCTTTTGAACTTTATCTATGATTTACTCCTATTTGGAGTGACTTCTTTTTACGCTTATGTATGGAAATATAATTATGAAAGTGGTCTTTCTTGAATTTGTAGTTGTTCGTGGTGAAATTGACAGAAAGCAGTATGATGTTTTGATAAAGTCAAAAGTGGAAGGGGATCGCAAAAAACAAGATGAGAGATCGATGGCAGTTTTACGGATACAATCAGGTGATTTCTAGTTCTTCCATGTTTAACAGGGCAATGACTTTTGGTATGAAATGTAGTTTTTAATGGGCCAACTGTTTCCCCCAGCAGCAATGCGTGGGTTCTTGTCTAGAAGACATTTTGGTAGCCTGTGGGGTCTCAAAAAGTCAATTCTCAACCAGCAAAATGCAAGCAGGAAAATTTCAGAGGTGAAGGTACTGTATGGTTTAAAGAAACAAAAAAAAAAGAAATACAGCTTAAATTGGTTTAATATATAACACTATTACCTCAAATTCTCTCTAATTGAAAGAGAGAAAAAATCATGATATGCTTTTCCTCCTAACAGGCCTTTTGGATTTACAAATATGCAATAAGGTTGCAAGTTTGGGATTCTTGTTTTGGGCCGTTCATTTTATTTTCTAAAATGAGCACCGGAGTTTCACCAATCACCATAAAAGTTCTATGCTATGACTTGAATTTAAACTTAGGAGAACTCTAGTAATGTGAAAGAAGACCTTATTATATGCTATGACCGGAAAGAAAAACAAGGAAATTGATTATACATTTATATTTCTCTTCACTTGAAATATTTCTCTGTTTAACAATCTTTTTCACAGGATTTTCCTTCAGAAGTTCTACCTTATGTTCTGGAAGAGCTTCAAAAACAGGTTCACAGGGCTGAGGCAACCATTGAGCAGAAGGAAAAAGAAAATGTAGCTTTGAGAGAACAAATAAAACAATTTGAGAATCGACTATCAGAATATGAAGCCAAGATGGGTTCAGTGGAGATGTGGCAAAAACAAATGGCATCTTTGCAGGTGAGATACTGTCTAGTTATTATTGTGTTCTACCTGGTATATGTTGAAATTAGTTCAACCAAAAAATAATAAATATAAAATATAGCTAGGCTTGATGATTTTCGATAGGATGTACCTTGCTAAAATTAAAAAGGTATTACCTATCGAAACAAGACTTTATTATTTATAACGGAGGATGTGGTACTACCATGTACTGAAACAGGCAAAGCTTGCTCTAGCCAAGTGTCTTACTGTCGGAGGCAATACTCTGCTGGCTTCTTCACAACTTTCTCGCTCGTATGAATCTACAAGAAGCCTATCTATGGGGACTGGAGCAGGAAGTGCCTCAATGAGATCTACTGACTATGAAACTGATGCGGCTGAGTCTGTTCAAGAGGGTGTTGGTGGTTTCCTTGCAGTGAGTCACCTTGTGAAGGAGTTTGAAGTCAATAAACAAAAATTCGATGGTGAGGCAGAAAGAGTCGTTCAGCTCAAAGGGCAGTCCACATCTACTCCTGAAGCAGAGCTGAAGAGACTGAAACTCCAGTTTTGCGAATGGAAGGAAGACTTTAAGGAGAGGTTAAGGGAGGCAAGGGCCAAAGTGCGCAAGCTTGAGCAGCATTCCAAAGATAGACGGAAAAAGAGGACGACGTGGTGGGGAAAGGAGCAAATCTTCTCAGCTTTGAATAACTCGTCTAACTTCCTAGGAGGAATCAAATGGTATAATAAATAAATGAACTTGTCAAAGAAAGAAACTAGTGGGATCATATCCATCTATATTTTTGGTTTCTTTTCAAACTGGGCGTTTGTTTATTTAAGGAGCCAACATGTACAGTTTGTACAAACTGTAATCTTTTCTTACTGCAGCAGATTGTATCCTTCCATGTTTGATGAACTTTGTCAGCTTGTGTGTGAAGATCCATTAACATAATTGTCTATTGCACTTATTGTCTGAGTTTGCCTATACTCCCCAGCTGAAGGTATTATTTGATTCCTCAAAATCTGTAGCAAGGCTTTTAAAACATTTATATAATAGTGTTGTCGGAATATTTGAAGTCCAAATATGCTGGAATTGTCAGGGTTGACCACTTGACCCCCAAACACGACCTAAGCCTTGTGAGGGAAGTAAATATGATCTGTTGGTTTATCAGTCAGTTGACTTATAAAGGGAATCTTATTAGCAGAAATCAGTAAACTCATCTCCATCTTAATTGTGTTGCTTGTTAAACAACCCTACTATGGTTTGCAGATTGTTTCCAATATTTTAGTTGAATATTGTAGAACCTAGGGACAAGCTTAATGGTCTGTTGGTTTGAGAGAGGTGGGTGGGTGGGGGGGGGGGGGGGCATCTAACCTCCCCTTGTTTGGTTGAAATACCAGTAAAGGGGAGAAGAATCCATAAGTTCTCTTCGTAAGTGGCATACATATATACCTAGACATCGTCAGCAACAGAGTTATCAAGGTTGATAACGGCCCGAGGCCAAAAAGGTACATGGAAGAGGTCCATTACCATTAACTAACCCAGTGGCTTGGTACAAAGAACCAAAACATGTAGAACATAGTGCTGCAAAGGTGAGCGTGATCAGCTAGCTAGGCGGCTAGGCCAAATTTAGTGTGGAGAGCTCATTGCCCTCCCCAAACTCCTGCAGGATGACTGTTGACTGAAAACCCTTCCAGACAGCTTATGATTGGTCAACCATTCAGAATGATGTTTACAAACGTAAAAACACACATCAGCAAGAACTTTGCATAGAATTTCAGTACAAAAAAGCGATTAAAACTTCTGTTTAGCCACAAACAAATATGAACCTGAAAGGAGTTAAAAATATGATCAACCATCAAAGAAGACCATCAATGATAGGCATCTGCCACTTCTACCCGTACTTCAAAACGGGATACATATGCTCATAAATCTATCTGAGTCACATTTCAATAATTTTTTGAATAATTCTAAGGTACAACAAAAAAAGAACGTGTTTCCAACAAAATCTGTTTCGACCCTCCCGTACTGATCTAGGCTAATAATCAAGTGAGAATACCTCATCATACGAATGAATGTACACTAACCAACATCATACCCCAAGTCAATGCACATTGCATTGCTGCAATATGGGATGTGAATAATCAACATACTTATCCCACAATGGTTTGTATTTCTCCATCCCGATCTTCAACCATGGCTTGGAATTCCCATTGAAATGCAGAACCGCTCCGTTCTCGAGCAACTGCGAGTCAACATTAGTATATCCCAGTCCCAAAATATGCCAATTGGGATCCAGAGCTTGAGTCAACCCGTAGAATGTTAAAAGTCCAGGTGGCAAGGTCCCCAGTTTCCACAGTGTCCGGTCAACATTCTTCTCTTGCCAGTAGTGGTATATTCCGGTCACGTCCCTCTTTCTCCACTCGACCAAATCAAAAACATTCATTCCAAACGCCCATCCACAGGCATCCGGGTCAAAATGCTCACGGATCAATGGGTGGGAGTAATTCAAGTATTTGTGGTATCTATGAAAGGTCTCCATGCAAGTCTCAACGGCTCCGTTCACATTCCCATTCAGATCAATAGAGAACAAGGGAGCAAGATCCTTTTGAACCACAACATCGTCATCAAGAAACACTACCTTCTCTAGTTTCGGAAAAACTTCTGGAATATAGAACCGAAGGTGGTTAAGCATCGAAAGATACTTTGGGTTACGGAATTTGATAGGGGTAGTCTTGTCCTTACCATGACTCCCAGAGAAGTAATAGTTTTGGGTGTCTAAGTCTTTCAACTGTTTGAGAACAGGAACATAAGAGGCATTTAGCCAAACAAAATCCTCAAATTTCTCAACTTCCACTGTCACACCACGGAATGAGTTCATAGAAAACCAAGCTCTCATGGGGGCATAGTTTACTTCATCCGTCACAATATGGAAGACAATGGAATTGGGATTCTTCGCATTTGAAGCTGTAGAGTTCACAACGACGGAAGTTGCTAGTACATTGTCAGAAAACACACAAAAATGATAAAGGTTAGGGTCCTCAAGCTTTCCAGCAACCAAATGCTTCCCCACTTGTGGGTTCCTGAACCAGTCAACGGTTAACCTGACGCCCAGGCAGTAGAGGCTCTTTGGAACTTCCTCAGCGGCTATTTGTCCATATTTAGAGCTCTTCTCAGTCACGGAATGTACTTGTTCCTCAAGAGTTTGAATCTTGGCTTTCAATCTCATAATCATTGTTGCACTATCATAGTGAAGTTGTTGGGCTTGACAAAGCAAGAGTGTCATATCATGGATCACTGTTTCTGACTCCTTCATTGTTAAGGGACTGTTCCTAGTGGCTGAAGTTGATAGGAGAAGTTGAGACTTACGGATCTTGGCACTCATCTCCCACGCAAGCTGAAGGTTGTTGCTTTCTTTTGCAACTATAATCAAGGCTTTGGCAAGAGAGATTTGATCATTGATTTGCCTTGCTACTGAGTAAGGGCTTAACATTTCATCGGTGACATTCAGAGCTTCCAAAAGTTTGTTTTGTCTATTATATCCCTGGCAGTTAAGTTACATAAGAACATCAGTATTATATGTACTCAAGTTAAGATACCATAAATAAAAAAGGGAAGATTCAACATTTTATATCTACACAATCTCATAAGTCATTTGGTCAATCTATTGATAGATACACCAAATATTAGAAAGCAAAAATGTCACTATACTAATATTAGCGAAAGGCAGCATTCTATCATGCTTAATCAAATCCAGGTATTAAAATGTATTCTTCTCATAAACCAAATCTGATTTTCAGATACAGAATAATTTATTATTGATAGAAAGCCTTCGGCACGACATCCATGCTAAAAATATTAAAGAACTGCCAGAGTACAAAGTTAAAACTTGATTTTGATAATAAAATTCCATAGTTTCATCAAGCCTCAATTGAAGTGAAACTCAGTTGATGATTTGATCCAGAAAATTTAGCAACTCATTGTCATTGTATGATTCAATTACATTCATATACCACCTTGAATACAGTTATGGGTTACGTTGTCTTTTGTTCACTTTTAAAATTCTGTAACAGCATTAAGCTTCTTAAAGAAAACTAATAAATGTTAGATGTGAACCGTGAGAAGAAACATTCCTTTTTCAATTACTATTTACAAAAACAGATGGTTAAAAAGTATTCAAATTCATAGCCTAAGGGTCGGCAAATTTATCTCCTTTTCTAGCCATGGTTTATCATTAGGACTCAAATAAAACCTCAAAATATTCATGTAAGTCCCCAAAACAAAGGGCCAAGATATTGCACTAACATAGTACGGAGTAAGATTTTGGACAGAAGAAACATCTTGAAACAAGCTCACAGATCATCATTTTCTGCAAAACTTGAAGAGAAAACCTAAGAGAAGAAAATTTAGGATATTGGTTCCAGGATGGTTCGAAATCTGAGGGCTAAATGGGTGCTGATGAATTTGTATACAAAATGTACACTAACACAGAAAATTTCATTCACAGCATTTTGGGTAATGATCTGAGAATGAATATCCAAAAATGACATGCAATTAAAGTTTCAAAGAAGAAAAGAGGAAGAGCGAGTACCTGAAGCAAGGAAGGCGTAGAAGGAGAAGGGTTTTTACGACTGAAGAGAGCTAGGAGGAGAAGGGTCAAGATTGCGCAAAATATCAGCCATCCCAGCTTTGAGTATCTTCTCTTGGATGTTCTGTTTCGAGGTTCAAACGACCGTCGCCTCATCAGAATCCCCGTGCTATTGCCGGCCGCATCAACAACAAATTGAAGGAGAAGAAGAAGAAGAAAATGAACAAATTCCACTGCTTTTCGAGGGAAGAAGAATGAAATTGTGGCGTGAACGTTTTTACTTGTTCTTCTTGTGATGTTGTTTAACGTATTTAGAGTAATAATTGCAGTAGATATGAGTCTGAAAATTACGAAGCAAGAACAAAGAAAGAAAGAAATGTGATGATGTGACGAAAGTGAATCGATCCATGACGCGATGATTCGGATCTGTGTGTGTCGGTAGCTGGGCGCCTAAGGCAGAGCCCCTTTAATAAATCTAATCTACCAATTTATACGTATTGACTCAGTCAATTCAGTTTTTTCTTGTAACCCAACATCGTCAATATATTCACTCAACGCATTCTTTTTTATTTAAATCCTTACTTTTATTATTATACATAATTTTTTTCGCAAATTCTATTTTTGCAAATAATTATGATTTAAAATATCAAACATTTCGATGTAAAAATAAATAAATTTGGAGTGAAATTTTTTTAACTAATTTTTTAATGTTAAAATATCAAACTAATTTTTTTAACTGTATATATCCATGACTGGTGTCATATGAAAAATCAGAAAAAGTTATGAATTTTGATATATTTTACGTAAAATTTAGAGTAAAAATTAAAGAGATAAAACAGTTTAAAGAAAATTAAGATTTTAATTTTGTTGGGACCCATTGTCAATTGCTTCCTCGTTTAGCACATACCACCAAGCTTTTCCTCTCTCCAAGTGTCAATAGGGGTAGCACACATTGACACCATGGGTTTTCCCAATCCACTTTAGCTCCCACATATACTTTTTTTACTTGGGCTGGAGCACATTTGAGGGTGAATACCTCACATTTGTGCTTTTCACCCTTTGCAATGCAGGTAGCCTAAGGTTGAGTATCACGATCGGTGGTAATCTAGACACACAGATAGATCTTCCCACACTTGCATGTCTCGCGTTGCCACCAACAAATCACCCCCATTTCATGTTAATTAATTAATGTTTTTGCTTTTCTAATTTCACATTCAAACACTCCCATGAACAACGAGAATGTTTCACTCTCATAGTATTAATACAATTCATATAGTGAAATTTCATATATATATATATATATATATATATGTATATATACTCTTTCAAATTTCTAATAATAAGATAGTTTGTTAATCACCAAAGTGATTTAACTAGTTAGAGTACATAATTTAAAAAAGTATTGAGTAGATCTAATTGATCATAATTAATTTATGTTTAATGAACATTTAAATTAAATATTTACGGTATAAGGAGTTTGTTAGTCACCAAAGTGGCCGGACTCAAATGATAGTTAAATAGTTAATTTTTATAATCTGTTTGATTTATTGACTATAAATGTAATGTTTTTTAGTCACCAAAGTGGCATGACGAAAAGGTTATTAGACTAATGCTAAGTAAATCTTTAAGACAAGATCATTTATTTATAACTTTAAGATGCCTAATATATAATTTGCTATTTACTCATATAAATAGTACTTATACATTATATTGCTATAAGATCGTCCAAAGATGGGTCATGAATGTATAAACTATTATAATTTGAGTGACTAATTTTATACTCAGATTAAATTGGGTGAATGTTCAAAGACGACACTTATTTAGTCAAAGTACAATTAATTGTGTATTTTTATAAATATGTGGCATCAATTTATATATATATTTAAGGATCATTGATTGCGTTTTGTTGCACTTAAAATAAATGTAAATAGTATAGGGTCAAGTACGAGTATCGTCTCAATAGACACGAAAAAAGGGAATTAAGTATTAATTAATTTCATCGATTTAAAATAAATAAATTACATGCGAATGTACGTGAAGGATTTTTGGAATTAAAATGGAACAAAAACAAAGATAAAATTTAGCACCTCTTTCGAATTTATGACATCAAGGGAACATACATTAATCCCACGGGAAACAATATTTCAGGAGTGATCATGCTTAATCACATGAGAATTATTTAAGTACGCAACGCAAATCAATACTAAATTCTTTCCGCTCTCGCGGTATAGAGTACAACGATTTAGAAAGTCAGGTTGATTTCTCATGTGACAGGCTTCTAAAACATTGCAGAAATGAACGAGCTTACGACTCCCTAACCGTGCTAATCTCTTAACTAGTGGCAAAGTGTGCTTGAAAGTGTCCTAGAATAATTTAGATCTCACATTAATGATTACTATCTATATAGTAATTGTCCTAAATAGAACTAAATGGAAACTTAATTTCACAAATAGGACTAAAGCCTAAATTATTCACAAATATGACTAAACAGTAATTTTCTACCCTAAATACTCCTAAGAGTATTAATTTACTATAAAATGTTTTAATTCATAATAAAATCATAAAAAATAATAAAAATCGTAAAAAAAACAATAAAATATATACTTCATATATAATAAAAATTTTAAAAAACATTTTTAAAAAATAGAAAAAATAAAAAAAATAAAAATAGTAAAAACCCGACTATTTTTATTTTTGCTCTTAGGTCGGTCGGCAGCCCTGCTCCAATCATAGTCCGACGTTCTGGCCGGGTGGGATCGATTTCGACCTCCTCGAGCTCCGGGACGGGCTGAGCTCTAAACTGCCCTTCATCATGTTTTGACAGGTCTTGCTCAATGGCATTGACTTGACCCTCACATAGTTTCCTCACATGAGCTTTGCAGGCTCTTACATAACAGCTTCGTGCCATCTTCTGGTCTCCCCTTACCGTGCCTATTCCGGCTAGCGTATAAAACTTCATGCAGAGATGAGCCTGGGAGATAATGGCCCCCAAGTCTTCCAACAGGGGTCGGCCAAGAATGGTTTTGTGAACGCTCAGTTAACGCACTATAACGAAATCCGCTTCCACTGTTTGGACACATGGTTCTGATCTGAGCTGAATCTTGAGGGTGATTGCTCCCTCTGATTCTATCACGTCCCCGATAAAACCTGACAGGGGAGTCTTTACCGGCTGCAGGGCTTCCTTCTGGAGGCCAATCTCCAGATACGTGTCTAAGTACATCACGTTCACCGAATCGTCGTTGTTTAGGAGAACCATGTGGACTATTTCATCCATAACTTCCATTTTTACAACGAGAGCATCTCTATGTGGGGGAGGACAACGTGGGAGGTCGTCATCAGTAAAGACAATAGACTCCCGCTTCTGCTTCTTGTCAGTAGGGAGGTGGTTGATTTCGCCGATGAACAGCTGACGACTCCATTTCTTCCTTTCCCCCGATGTGTTTCCTCCCACTGGTCCACCATAGATCTGGTTGACATGTGGGCGCTTGTGCTGACCGGAATCTTCCCCTTTCTTGTCATCCTCAAACTAGGCTCCGATCTCCCTCATTTTTTAGGTTGGGGATTGACGGGCACTTTGTCACGGTGCGTCAAAATTAATTCAATACTAACACTTATACGTAGTATAGTGAAGTAGAGTTCGTATCCACAGGGAAAGGAATAAATCTCTTTTTATATGAAACTAGTAATTAAAGGGGGTTTTGCGGTTGAATGATTTAATTTAATTAAACACTAATGATGGAGTATATGGCCCAGGGACCCCCGGCCCACAGACTCCTACTACTCTAACACAGGCCCAACAGGCCCAGGAAGCACAACAGGCCCAAATCACAGCGGCCCAAGTGTCAAAAAGCCCACAGTTCACATACAGATGCCTTCGGCCCCGTGGCTGAGGGCTCCAGAACTAACAAGGTAGACGGAATTGAGAAGACAAAGCTACTGGGAGAAGATGGCGGAAAACAGCCCTCGACACAGGAGGCCCCCGGTATGAAGAGCCTTCGGCCCAACATGTATAGCCGAAGGCACCCTCCTCGACAGAATATCCTCTCCACATTCGCCTGAATCACCGTACCACGTACAACGTCGCATCCAACCACCGCATTTAATGCAGCCACATGCAAATGCCGGTGCCACCCCGATTGAGGTGACCTTCAGCCGTCGGATGCTTGACACGTGTCCCTATCTAGCATTTATTGCTGCTATAAATAGCAGTCCCTTTTCCCATTGTAAAACACGCCTTGAATATCTCGAATACATACTCTCTCTTACTTATTGCTCTGACTTCTCTCTAGTTATCCTCCGTAATAACCCTCAGATAAGTTACCCCCGGGTACACTATCCATCATTTGGTGCTCTCGTTGAGAGCTCTGAACAATCAAGTAAGATACCCTCCCCTTCACCGAACATAAAACAAATACGAAAATGGGAAGAACTCGTGCTCAGTCCAAGACCCTTGAGGACAACAACCTGGCCCTTGGCGAGGTCAACGCCCCCGGAGCCTCCAACAAGGCTACCGAGGGCAGGGTCATCGCTGAGTTGGAACAGGCTGCTGTTGACCTGCGCCTTCAGCTCCAGCAGAATGCTCTTCATCGGAGCGAAAACCAAGTGAGCCCTCCGGTCCTCACTATTGACGTACAGTCGGCATTTTCTGCCTTCATCCAGACACTCACCTGGACTCCAGGTGCCTTCGGCGCTCTGGTACCACTTCAGCCGCAGGTCGGGGAGAACGCCATTCCTCCCCCTCCTTCACCCCCGTCATAAACCCTATCCTTCGGTTAAGGAACAACAAAGGAGTCGTTGCTCAGGATACCGCTTCCCAGGAAGTCCAGTCCCGGGACCAGCGTGATGCAAACAAAGATAGACCCCGGACCTCCGCCCTCGAGAGGCTCAGAGGAATGCCATATCGCAGGGGGGTCCAAGACTGCCTCAGGGGTAAAGCGTTCCAAAGACCTCAAGAAAGCGGGGGATCTTTCTCGAGGGCAGATGAAAGGCGCCCCCCTCGGGACAAAGGTAAGGGACTGCTCCATGCTGACGACGCCAGGCACCACATCAACCAGGCCCACTTGGCCCAGGTACAATCGCAGGGGGCGGAGGCCCTCCCAAGGGACCCCAGAGATAAGGTTATTGAGGCCCTTCAACGCCGCCTTGATGAAGTGGAGGCCCGCCAGGCACACACGACCGCTTCCGCTTCACAGGTGGATCCCAAATACGCCACCATGGTGGCCAAGATGGAGGAGATGCAAATAAGATTTGGCGTGGGCTTCGGAGAACCCGTCATCCAGATCCAGACAAGGACGCCATTTACCCCAAGGGTATTGGCGGCCCAGATTCCAGGAAAATACCGAGGGCAACCCATCAAGCCCTACGAAGGAAAGACTGACCCCCAGGAGCACTACAGCAGGTACCATAACAACATGATGATGGTAGGGGCATCAGATGAGTATTTGTGCCGTTGGTTCCTT